CAGACTACAAATTCTGGTCAGACCTTGTTAGATGTGAGCTCTGATTGGCTCTTACATCTAAGAACTCTGAAAACCAACGTTAATACCTCCGGTCTATTTTGGGCGAAGATGCCAATGAACTGGTCTGGGGCAGTCTTGAAGCCTTTCTGGATGAGCGCTGAGCCTATGCATTCTGACAAGTCTGCAACCTAAAGGAGAAGGAAAAAATCAGAAACACCATCAGGCCCCACCTGGAGGAACAAAGCTTAGCCGATGACAAACGAGTATCTCAGCCAGCAAGTACAGCTGCAAAGAGCAGGGGGAAAGGAACAAGCAGATATTCCTTTATATATACATTTTTGTAAAATACAAGGTTTAATTCGCCAGAACTCAGCATTAAGAGAATCGATTGGAGGGCTCCTTATACAAAGCAAATTAATCTCATCCCAACAGCAGCATGTCACAGCTTCCTATACATTTTTTATTCCATTTTAGTCTTCTAAAATTATAAAAGAAATACAGAGACATAGTTGTTTTTTTGGCAGCAAAGCAGCTAAAATTCGCCATTTTGTATCAACACGGAAACAGCATGTTTTTGAGAGACCTTTCTAAAAATAATTAGAGCAAGCTGTTGTTGTTGTTATTATTATTATTATTATTATTATTATTTGAGACAGAGACTCAAACTGTCACCCTGGATAGAGTGCCACAGCTTCATAGTTCACAGCAATCTCCAACTCTTGGGCTCAGGTGATCCACTAGCCTCAGTTTTTCTATTTTTAGTAGAAACGGGGTCTTGCTTTTTGCTCAGGCTGGTCTCAAACTCATGAGCTGAAGCAATCCACCCGCCTTGGCCTCCCAGAGAACTAGGATTACAGGCGTAAGCCACTTCGCCAGGCCGCAAGCAAGCTATTATTAAGCTGTACAATTCTATTCTTGAGAATTTATTCTTGGGAAACAATTCAGTCTCAGAAAGTGGTTTTTAAAAGTCTATCTGCAAAGGTACATGTATATTTTAAAATTATTTAAAGTCAAAAATCTCTAAGGGAAAAAAGACCAGTGGCTGGATGGTTAAGTAAATGACAGTAAATCTCTGAGAAAATGCTACACAGCTAATAATATTACAATTATGAAAACCATGGCAAACAGGATAATATTATTAACAATAAGTAACACAAGTAAATATAGAAATGAATATGATGGCTTGGCGCCTGTAGCTCAGCAGCTAGGGCACCAGCCACATCACCAGAGCTGGGGGTTGAATCCAGCCCGGGCCTGCCAAATAACAATAACAACTACAACAAAAAAATAGGCATTGTGGCAGGTGCCTCTTGTCCCAGCTACTTGGGAGGTTGAGGCAAGAGAAGCACTTGAGCTCAAAAGCTTGAGGTTGCTGTGAGCTGTAATGTCATAGCACTCAACCCCAGGGTGACTGAGTGAGACTCTGTGTCACAAAATTAGGCAGGGCTATATACTCATTCCTATTCTCTCCCCACTCCTACCCCAAATTAATTGAAAATTTTTTTTAAAAAAATCTTAAGACATTAGGGTCCTTTTCTTTTCTTCATTGGTGAATTCTCAAGGACACTTAAAGCACACCCCCATGCCCACACCTGGCCTGGAACCCCTACTGGTTTGACACTGGGTGCCCTCCTGGCTCTACCTAGATCAGACTGACTCTAGTGAGGTCACAATGGGATGACATGAACAGGCTCATTACTCCATGGACGAGCTGACAACTGTTTTTTTTTAATCTCTTATAGCGTAAGAGCTGACAACTCTTGATGGCATTTAAGGGATTGGAACCTGAGAAATGCCTGCAATTGTTTGCCAAGCCAATTAGATAATATGCACATGTTCATATTTCTAGAAAGACAGTTCATTTTTTTCTTTACAAAAAGCCTTGAAGAACTCCTAGCACCCAAAAAAGGTCAGATTCACTGACAAACAAAAAAGATTTAAATTGGCTTCAGAGAAGTCTGGTTTTAGACTGGTGGTTCTCAACCTTCCTAATGCCGGGAGCCTTTAATACAGTTCCTGTGGGTTGCGACCCACAGGTTGAGAACCGCTGTTTTAGACCTTCACCAGTCTCTGACTGAAGTGCACAAATCCCAGGGTCACACCTGCAGAACTGCAGTGATTGTCCAGCTGCCGTGAAAATTTCACTTTGGCATGATGCGCCTTCTCTCTTCCAGCCACTAAACACCACAAGTAATAGAGAAATTTGAGGATTCCGTGAAGCCTCAGGAGCACCACGCAATATTATGCACCCAACACGTATAATTTGTTTTTACCCCACATGTGAAAATGGTTTGGATCTGGTAGGGAAACCCTATGTCACCTGTGCCACACCTGATTACTCCTTCTCCAGGCAAGTTGTAGCAAGTCACTTTACCCTTCATACATTAGCACTACTCAGAGCAGGCGTCCTCAAACTATGGCCCACGGGCCATATGCAGCCTGCCTAGGACATTTATCCGGCCCGCCAGGTGTTTTTGCCGCCATTGTCCTGCTTAGCAGCCGACTCGTCCCAAGGCCCGCAGCCCGGCCCTCCAACAGTCTGAGGGACAGTGAACTGGCCCCCTATTTAAAAAGTTTGAGGACCCCTGACTCAGTGGATGGAAGGGAGGAAATTGTGTGTCTCAGTCTAAGAAGAACCCACAAGCACTGCCCCACAGTGTGGCTCTGTGGTTCCAAATGACAATTCCCTTCACAGACACACCCCTAAATCCACCAGCTACTAAAAGTACCTTCCATACAAAACACGAAAAGAGGAAGTCATTTGTGCTCATGAATGTCACAGGGTGACCTGCCCAGACAGCTGCAGTGGAAATAAGAGGTGGCAAAGCAAACTGCGCCCACCTGTCTTCAGTGCTGCTGGGACGGGGAAAGCAGTGGCATCTGGATTTTTTGTGATCACCATAAAAATAAAAGTGCAAAGCAAAACTTTCCTGCTCAGCTACCTGTTCTTCACAAACTGCTATTTAAACAGGTGCAGCTGCTGGTGGGTGGAAACCAGAGAGTGACAAGAGGAGTGACACCTCCCTTTGTGTTTGTACAGTAAGCATGGCAGCATCTTCCTGGAACACCTGTGCTTTTCTGTATGGCTGCCCTGGGGCTCAATGTCACACACATGGTGAGACAGCCAGGACAGTTTTGAGTACCTGCAGGACACACCAGAAGGGCCCTGCACAAGAGGCCATAGGTCTTGGCTCTGGCACCAACCAGCTCGTGACCTTGAGTGGGTCACTTTTCTCTCTGGCACATGTTTTCCTCATTTACAAAATGAGAGATGCTGGTTGTTCCTGTTCTAAGTTTTCCAGCAAAAACTCAGGCAGAGAGGTGTACTCCTATCCCTACCTTCAGGGAGAGGAGGCACTGGCCTCAAGCAGCTTCTAGAATTTTATCTTAAAAATTATACTTGACTCCACAATGTATCCACATCAGTTTTAAAATCAGGTGCTTTGGATTGCCAGTTAAATTACATAACTCGTTCTCCCCAGATCCTTGCTCCAAGCTTCCCCATCTGGGCACTCTGAACTGGCCCAGCACATGCTCCATTGGAACCTTCCAGCTTGACATTCACAAACTCCCAGAACTAACATGTTTGAGTGATCTATGGAACCAGAAAACCCACCTGTTTATATGAAAGCCATTCATAGGGCTGGTTTGGTTTCCGAGAGCCCAAACAAGGGCCATTATCTAAAAAGAGAAAAAAAAAAAATGAAGAAAAAACAAGGTTGAATTTAACATGTATAAATATTCCTAGATTTTAATTTTCTATCTATTCACCCTATTCTAAAGATATCAGGTAGATTCTACTTTCTTCCTCAGATTAGAAATGATGAATTCAAATTGGAAATGTCTCCACTCTGGGTTTTGGTCTGATTCTTTGTTTGCTTGTTTCTTTTTTTTTGAGACAGAGTCTCAACCTGTCACCCTGGGTAGAGTGCCATGATGTCATACCTCATAGCAACCTCAAACTCTTGGGCTCAAGTGATTCTCTTGTCTCAGCCTCCCAAGTAGCTGGGGCTACAGGCACCTGCCACAACCCCTGGCTATTTTTTTTTGTTGTAGTTGTTATTGTTGTTTTAGCTGGCCCAGGCTGGATTTGAACCTGCCAGCCTTGGTGTATGTGGCCGGTGCCCTACCCACTGAGCTACGGGTGCCACCTGAGTTTGTTTTGTTTCTTAAATGGGCAGGAGAGGAGGATAGAGAGAGAAAAAAAGGCAGATACAATTTTTAAGGACACTTAATTTGTGCATTGCTCTTTAACACCTTATTGGTTTAGACCAGGAGTCAGTAGCTGGGAGGTAAAGAGATTCTGCTGTGGGTTTTTAGAAAGATATATTCCTCAAAATTTCTAAAGCTTAAAGCATTCTAACTCAGAATATGAAAAGGAAAATTTAATTCTTCATATGCCCAAATTTTGATGATTAAAGGTACTAAATTTTGATGATTAAAGGTACTAAGAATTACCTGGAATCCTAGTTACATGTGTGAAGCTGTGATAGCAGAGAAATAAAACATGAAGAAAAGATGCAAAATGATGGGCGGCACCTGTGGCTCAGTGAGTAGGGCACCGGCCCCATATACCGAGGGTGGTGGGTTCAAACCCCGCCCCGGCCAAACTGCAACAAAAAATAGCTGGGTGTTGTGGGCACCTGTAATCCCATTTACTCGGGAGGCTGAGGCAAGAGAATCGCCTAAGCCCAGAAGTTGGAGGTTGCTGTGAGCTGTGACGCCACAGCACTCTACCAAGGGCAATAAAGTGAGACTCTGTCTCGAAAAAAAAACCCAAAAAGATGCAAAATGAAGGGAAATGAGGCAGCATTTGTGAAAGCAAGTTAAGAAATGTCAGGATGTGTTCTGATTCCCAATTAGGTTCAAGGAAGCAAAGAGACCGTAGTACACCCAGCTTCACCAGTTTGGGTCTGCATGTTCATGAAGGGGTTCTGATTTGGCTTGAGGACACAGGCAGTGGGATGGCAGGCACAGGTGGCCCTGCTGGGCCTATTACACAAATGATGCCCCAGAGAGAGGAAGTGTGACATACATGCGGATGTCATCATGAGGATGGGGAGGACACAAGCTGGACACTAACTTCTTTGCTGTCCCTAAAAACAGTCCTGATGAAAACAGAAAGAGCCTTATTCTCAGACCCTTCTCGATGTACAGACTGTAACAAGGCCTCCACCATACAAGCAAGTTCAATCAGATGTTGTTTTGGATGG